CTTTCATATTTGGGCATGTAGAACTAATCAAGCTGTCCAGCTGCTGTAAACAGGTTTCCCTTGTTAGTGCTCATCAAAGCTGATGCATGAATAGTTCTTTTATGAAAGTGCAGTGCAACCATCAGAAGACTTATGTGCATTAGTCATTTGCTCATAATGATTAATAGGCTATCCAGTAACAGATTTCATTACATATTGCCAAACCAATACCAGCATGACATTTTTTGATCAGCCATCTACGTTAAAAGAAGGCAGAGTTTGGACATCTGTCACGTGTAGACTAGCTGTGATTTGCTCAGCTCACATATGTTAGTTATACATAGCAACATCCTTCCGAGCAGGAGGGCTCTCCAATTTAGACATTTGGTGCTTGTCTTTACAGTCCTAGGAAACATCTCAAGTGATAGGTGGGGTTTTTTTTTAATATGGTACTTGCTTTCAACCATATGAGGAAAGATATCTTGGTTACAAGACTCTGATTGAGATTGTGAGAACAGACAATTTTTAGAGCACACTCTTAGTTCATTTCACTTTCAAGAAGAAATGTAGTTAATCCTCCAGTCCATCACAAAGATCTGTGTGATTATCAAATTAATTATCTGGCAGCTGGTTTGGGGCCACCCACATTTCTTGCTTCACTGTATTTTAATCATTAGCAGCAGCACTGTGAGCTGCAGTGAATCCTTGCATATGAAAGCCTGACAGTGACAAAGGCTTATGCAAGAATTAACCTTACACTTGCATGTGTTATGTGAATACATTTTATTCATTGATAGGAAACGACTAGCACAATTAGCGCTATACAGCATGACCATCCACGGGAGCTCCTTGGCTGCATACCCAGTTTTAAAGGACTTGTGTTTGTGGTGTGACTGGTACCAGGTAACAACCCACAATGCCACTCTTAAAATTCATTGGGCCTCCAGACTGCCTAGACTTTCCGGTCACTTGCATGCTAGAGTTGTCTGCTCTGACAATGCCATTTGTATTCTAGTTACTTGTGTTGTATTTATGACTGTCACAGTAGTTAACAACAAATGTGAAGAGTTGTTGTGCAGCTTAAGATAGGATCTGGAGCTGGCATGGAAACAACCCTTTCAGGCTGTAAGGTAAAGCTATGACTGCCCTGGATTACCCTCCTGCGTTCTACTAGGTATTGTGAAAGCTATCATTCACAGAACACACGCAGTACATACTACTGGTTTAACTTTCTAGGTGAAGAACTTTCCAAGTGAATAAATTATGAACTTTCCAACGGTTACAATGATTTATAAAATCATTGATGTCAGGACGTGTTTACATACAGGTTTGAACCATGTAATATTTTGCAATTTAGAGGGAGCCTTCAAATGTGGATGTAGTTCACCTGGTACAGAATGCTGCCATGGATAGAAAAGTAACCAACCGCTCTAGAATTATTCTCTGCAAAATATTTGAACACTGTTACAAAGATGATATATATGCAAGGCAAGAAGCAGTTTTCTAGTATTAGGAGGTGTAGCAGTAATATTTAATGCTTCTTTGACATGAACTGAGCAGAATATATCTTTGAAGTAAATCTTATTTCCACACTTCTCTTTTAAAAACTGCTCATAATTTCTTGGGCTACTTAACTAGCAATTATTTATTAGAATAAACTGTAATTTATTTTTCCATTAATCAGAACAAATAGCCTGACTTTGAATGCAAAAGAAGGTCTGAGTTTTTAAATTTGATTGGTTTTAGATCCATTTGTGAATTTTTTTAAAAAAAGTAATTGATTAGGTGGAAGTCTCAGCTTGTTCCTTAAAATGAAAAAAACACTGCCTTCAGCTCTTAGAGTCATGATTTCAGAGGTGGAAAAAGACATCTTAGAAAAATAAAACGAATAGTCTAAGAGCCTCTGTCAGAGTTAATCCAAATGTCTGTCGTCTTCTGTATGCAGTGTGGAAGAAAGGTATCAAAGCTGCTTTTGGCAAAGCATCTGGCTGTAGTTTAAGGAAGACCTTACTTCTGCCAGAGAATTGACATTGATCTTCTCTAGAAATCTTGAGTCAGTTGTTTGATTTCATGTCAGGAAGACATTCACTCTCATACCAAACTATGGGCTAAACTTGACAGCTTATGTAGTTTGGACACAGCCAGTTAATTATAGTAGTAGTGCTTTTTGTGGACAGTCTTAAATGAATCACAGTTTTAACAGGGTAACTTTAATGCTCAAATGCCAACAGTTTTGTGAATAATGCATGACCAGGAGTTAACACTTATGTACTTGGGTTTGGTTATGTCCACAGTTGTTATGAAATGTCTGACAAAACAGTATCAATGGGAGTCTTGAGGAGATCTGAAAGTGGCTCTCTGCAGAGCATGCTTATGATTTTTTTCTTAATTTATTTTATTAAACTAAACTTGCAAATTTGCTAAAGCTGTTAAAATGCTACCTCATTGGTATACAGCTATTTTCCTTTCTTATTCCAAATCTTTACATAGTGCTCATAATTTATTAGAAGTTTGAAGCATGAAATACTGTTTTGATCAGTTAAGTTTGCTGAGATTGTTTAGAGAGTAACTAGAAACTTGTGTGAGTTTTATCTTGAGGAAACAAAGCATATTCTATATTTTAAGTCTGATTGCTTTGAAACCTGAAATTACTGACACTCAGTGTAGAACACAAAGTGACACTGATTTAGATGAAACAGCTAGAATGTTGTTCTGTTCCTCAGACCATCTGTAGTGCAGTCTAAAGACACATAGATGTTTGCATGCTAATTGTGTTCTGCTGCTAATGTGACTGATGAAAGTTAGATTAACGCTATATCCAGGGCAGGCTTCATGTCTGTATACTTACTGGGTCCTAAATGAGTTGAGTGTATTGTTAGGAGTTGCCACAGTTTGTACCCATGCTGTAGGTGATGTGAAACTGGTTTAGTAAGATGAAGCAAGCCTTAGTTGGTACATCTCTCAAATCTGAAGAAGTTCATTGAAGAATTCACAAACTGCCAGGGGATTCCGATGTCTTTTGACACTTCTGTGCTTCCTCATTCTGGTCTGCCTGTTGTGACAGTCTTGCGGTCCTCTGTACCAAACAAGGTAACTAGTCTTGGCTGCTGATTTGTCTCATTGCATTGCACAAGTCCTTCAGGGAAAAAAATAACCACTTATATTCTGTCACTTATTTCCAGAATCTTATGCTTCCTATATTTAAAAATAAGAGTACTGTCTTAAGATTTATATTTTTCCTTCACTCATCTTTTATGAAGGTCTTTCAGTGGAACAATATTCTTCATCCTGAATGAGCAGAACAGACTTTGAATTTTCTATAGTATATATAGTATACATCTACTCCAAAAGTATCCATTTCTCCCAGGAATTTTGTTTTCTAGAGCTACTAATAAGATTTTGTTTACCTTCTAGTTTTCATGCAAACCAGTTGCTAAATATTTGTGGTGCATTGAATGTCCTCTATTTAACTTCTTTTGAAAGCTTTCCCAAGAAAATTGCCCTCTGTTTTAGCTTCCAGTGCTTAATAAAAAACAGTATTTGGTTGATTTGTGGTGCTAAACAGAGAACCAGCTTCCCTCTCCCTTTGCGCTGCTACCATCAATATGGTATTTGCATATTGATGGCATTTAGGTACTTCATAAGCTCACGTTATACTACTTGTTACAGATAAATAGAGGTACCTCACTTAAAATAGATTAATCCAGACACTTGCTAGTAACTTTTAGTATTTCCTGCTTCTTTGTGGATGTATCTTTTTCAGGCAATGTGTCATTTCCTTGAAATATGGAACTACACTTGTCAACTGGCATCTAAAATCATTAGATTTTTAAAAACATTTCTGAATTTTAGCTTGATTGGTCAGTTTGGGTTTTTAACAAGACCTTGTCATTAAAGAACATGTAAATTAACACATTAATGTTGTATCTTAATTTGGGGAAAAATACATAGGCTCTTATTACCCTAGAGAAACCACTTGAAGTCCATGCTCATCTAATACTTTTCTGTAGTTTATCGTTGTTATCCTAGTTTGTTCTTTCTTCACTTACATATCTGTCCATGTTATCTATGTTGTATGATTTCATAGAATCATAGGATCATTTTGGTTGGAAAAGACCTTTAAGATTGGGTCCAACCATAAACCTAGCACTGCCAAGTCCACCACTAAACCACGTCCCTAAGCACCAGTCGTCTACGCGTCTTTTAAATACCTCCAGGGATGGTGAATCCTCCTTTTCTCCAGGCTAAACCACCCCAGTTCCCTCAGCTGCTCCTCACAAGACTTGTTCTTTAGACCCTTCACCAGCTTCGTTGCTCTTCTTTGGACACTCAAGCACCTCAGCTTCCTGTTCTGTCCCTCCTTATGTACTGTATTAAAACAATAGTAATTCTTGGCATATAATTTTGAAGTCTGCAGGCAAATGTGGAGGGAAATGAGCTCTCATGAAAGAGAGGGTGATGGTGGCAGCTGGTTGCATTCTGAATGTTTAGTTGGTAAGAGGTACGTGGATTTAGCTGTTAGGACCGTATGTCCTGAGAGACTGTCCAGACAGTTGTTTATGATTTCCTACATAGAAGAGGTGGCAGGCTGAAGATACAGGACATGAATATAATTGAGGAGAATATATTTAGAGTGTAGTGAGTAGATGACTTCACAGGTTAGTAGTTGAAAGAGTTCATACTACAGTAAATTAGCAATGAAGTTCTGAGTGAATGACTTTAAATTGTCCAGCTTGAGATATCCTAAAGGCATGTGATCTGTCCCTCTACCCTGTTCTGTTTTTAAAATAAATTCAGTGAAACATTGCAGGTTATAGCTGACATTTATTAAATAAATAAGAAAGTAAGAACTGAAATGGCTAATGACCACCTTTTTGCCACTGTCAAGAGCTTCAGTTTTTTCTCCTGTAGAATGCAAAATAAGGAACTTTATTTTTGTAATTTGTGCTGTTTAGAGCAAGCTTTGATAATAATATGGTCTATTAAGACACTTCTGTTTTTTTCCTTCTCAATTTAGAATGACTTTTCCCATAGTGACTGCATGTCAAGTAATGAGACCAGTTTGCTAGAACGAACCACAGCACCTCATGATGGACTACCAATGACTTCCCATAGACCTCAGCGAGAAGGTATGTTGTCTGAGATTTCTTTTGAGGAACACTTTAAGGGTTTGTTTTTTGTTTTTTTTTTGAACGCTAAACTCTCCTGGAGTTGTAGAAATCTTGAATCTGCCTTGCTATACATCTGAATGAGAAACTGCAGTGCTTGGTAAGTATAATAACTTCTCTGCTGCCTACTGGGTCTTTTCTTTGTTATAACAAGTTGTCATACTTGTTAGCTGCTAACTGTTAGTGACTGCATGCATGAAAATTGATTGCATTAGTTAGCTGTTAACTATTAGTGACTGCATGCACGAAAATTGATTGCAAATGGGCTTCCTCATGAAAAAAGAGGTGGGATTTGGGAGAAAACAAGAAACTTTAATGTAATTGTATTAATGGTGTTAAGATTTTTGAAGCAAAACTAAACATGAAGATACTGTGAAACAGTGGAGAGCTTTTGCTACTTGATTCAGTTGTATTTGATTAGTCTTGAAAACCAAAGAAATAAACCCCACGTATTAGAAAGTTTTTCAGTAGTGGTAGTTTGGAGAAGTGAGAGGATTTCCATAGAAGTGAGTCTTCTTTTGGCTCTGTATGGGAGACTGAGAACAAGGCTTCAGAGTGTAAACAGAACTCTTCCATGCAATTCCAGCACAGTCTTTTTTCTCTTTGAAGAAATGAGCATTATTGAAAACAGATTTATTCTTACCCTTTATTCTCCAATACGGTTAGAGAATCACTTGTCTGCTCAAAATTAGTCAACGCTATCCGATAGCGAAGAGCTGGCAATCTGGGAAAACTATTGCTATTCCTTTTGTCCTCATAAACGTCCTTTTGTCTCTACTGTGGAGATTTAATTACACTTTGAAGACAGGCAATTTGAGAGTTTTAATTCCTTGCAAAAAAACACAGAGAAAGATTATGGCAGATTACAGACAACAAACCTGTTTCAAATCCTTTTACAGAGTTCAAAGTGTTCATATCCACAAATTAGAAACATAAAAGGGAGACTGTCTTTAGCAACACTCTTGATTTAAGTAACAGAAGCACAGAAAAGTTGAATAATTGAATCTAGCGAAGAGCTTAAATACTTCTTAGCATTTGTATTACCATAGATAGAAACTACAGTGAAGGACCAGAATAATTTTGTGATATTTGTTATATAGGTATGTGATAGAGAGTCCCCGCTACAGAAATCTCTTTACTGGGTTAGAAATAGCACTGATAGTAAAAAATGTTTTTTATTCTTAGCTGTGATGAATATGATTTTTAGAAATCTTAACTTATACTTGCAATAGAAGCAGTGTCATGTTGTTGTGGTTTAGCCCGGCAGAAAGCTAAATGCCACGCAGCCATTCACTCCGTCTCCCCTGCAGTGGGATGAAAGAGAGAATTGCGGGGGGAGGTAAAATTTGTGGGTTGAGATAAATACAGTTTAATAGGACAGAAAATTAAGGAATAATAACAATACAACAAAACAAGTGATGCACAATGCAATTCCTCACCACCTGCTGACTGATGCCCAGCCAGTTCCCAAGCAGCAGCCCCCTTGGCCAGTTTTCCCCCCCAGTTTATGTACAGAGCCTGATGTCATATGATATGGAATATCCCTTTGGCCAGTTTGAGTCGTCTGTCCTGGCTGTGTCCCCTCCCAGCTTCTTGTGCACCCCCAGCCTCCTTGCTGGCAGGGCAGTATGAGAAGCTGAAAAGTCCTTGACTGCTTGGCAACAACTAAACCATCGGTGTGTTAACATTATTCTCAGCCTAAATCCAAAACACAGCACTATACCAGCTGCTAGGAAGAAAATTAACTCTGTCCCTGCCAAAACTAGGATACATGTATACATGCTTGACTTAATTGTCCTGAATGCATGTGTTGTGTCCAAAGTAAATTCAGAGATGTAACATGCCTCATTGGCTTATATATTCAAACATTTCTTCTCAGTCTAGCCATTTAGGATATTTAAAATGTGATTGTGGAAACAAAATTTTAAAGTGGTCTGTTGAAACTGTGGAACTAAAGCTGTGCAGTGACAACACTGTGATTACCTGTTGTATCACTTAATATGATGATTACCTGTTGTATTGCTTCATATAATGATGGAGGCAACAGCAACAAAAAGAAGTTAAGAAAGCTGAAAGTACTACATTGTGTAATAAGATTTCTTTATACTTGAGGACAAATATATTTAGCATTGAGAATGTCGAATAGTTTAAAGTAAACACAATCTCATTAGAAAAGCTTGTCTGTGAATGTTAATGGTGTTAGTTTCCATAATTATGTATGCTAAATATATGCATGTAGTGAAATAAAATTTAAGCTGCTATTCTCAGTTCCAGTCATTGGAATCGGCTTTTTAATTAACTTACGAATATCAATTCAGTTAATGGTATCAATTTTAACATTGGCCATTAAGAAACTTTACTGCACCAAAACTAGTGTTATGCCATAGTTCTTCTAAGAGTGCTTTTATCTGTACCAGACAGGTAAAAACTGAGGTCACCAAACATTCAGCTTTTTACAGTATATAGATGTATGTTATTGTCTGGCATCTTTAGCTCATCTGAGATTTCTTTGCTTTGTAATAATTCAACTTCATTAACTGATAAAAATGAACTGATCATCTAGTGTTCTAACTCCCAGGTAGAGGGTTACAACCAGTGTACACCAGCACACTCAGTATTTGTTAGTCTTTTAGTAGAAAGAATTGGAAGCTTGAGCAGTAGCACTACGCTTATGTGCTGGTTTATTACTGCTTTAAGGAAATTGCTAATACTTAGATTTCTTAGAATTGGCATCTTCAATGGGGATGATTCTTTAATTGTAACTTAAAGATCTTTAGTGAGTTTTGTTAAAGTTAGATGAAATGATAATTAGCTCATCTCCAAGAATAAGCTTTGTAACACACACTTGTAGGAGGTTGATTTTTTAAAATATTTTTTATTGTTATGCATAGTTCCCAATATATATCCCATGTAAACACATAGTTAAAAATTGAAAGGAAAACATTAGTTGGTCACACCACTCTCCTCTCACCTCCCCCCCCCCCCCAAAAAAAAAAAAAAAAAAGAAAAAGTTTCAAAGGCATTGTCAGGAACCATTGATGGTGTGAGGCTGGTCAAACTGTTTTTTAAATAAATTTTTTTACATGTGAAGATGTGTTCATGCTTGTAAAGGAATAAAATTCTGTTGAATACTTAGGCCAGGATAGCAGGAAAAGTGCAAGCCCATCTCAGCTACATGAGCATTTTTATACAGAGTATTTCGTGAACAATGTTATGTGCCTTCAAGAAAATCTCCAGACCCTGAAAGTCATATGATGCTGCTTTTTACTAAGTTACAGCCAGAGCTTGCCTATTCCTGAATACAGTAGACTATGGGGAAGGAAGGTTAAAAAAGCTAGGACTTCAAAGTGCCTTTCTTCCTTTTCAGTTCAATTTAATGATACTCTTTACAGAATGATTGTAGTAGCCTTTTGCTTCTCCTCTTCATTTTCTGTTTGCTAACGCTCATTTCTGTCTCCTTCAGGACTTCTGCAGGTGTTTCCTTCCACCTAAGTGCCTTTCAGAAATGTGGTTCTTCTGCCTTAGTTTGCTCTCATTACTACTTGATGTTTCAGAACCGTGGATGTGGGAGGCACTGTCACTGGCCTTTATCAGCGCTTGTTACTTCTTGGAGTAAAGATGCAATTTGACTTCCTTTCATTGTCTTTCCGCTTGCAGTGGTTATATTGTTGTATTTATGTGACTTTCAGTCTAAATAAGCTCTTGAGTAATGCACAGTGATCTGCAGTGAAGGGGTTGTGGTCAGGCCGGAGAAATACTTTGTAGAGAACAAGGCTTCACCCGCCCCCTGCAGTTCGTTATAGTAACATAGCATCTGAAAAAGAGTGGGGTTGTGTGAGTCAATAAATAGCATGCAGTCATTCTCAGAGTGGCTAGGTAAGTAGATATGTTTTCAAACTGTAATTTTGGTCTGTACAATAAGGTGTTTTTCTTTCAGCTGTACACATTGAGAAGATAACCCTGAAAGGAGTACCAAGAAAAAGGGCTGACAAACATTTGGAGTACACGTTCCTAGTAAGCAAATAACTTCCAGAATATTAAAGTAAATGTCTTCATGATATCTATGTATTGTAACTATATACAGTTTGTTTCAAAGACCTGCTCAGAAGGCAGTTTATGTTCTTCAGAGATTCTTGGAATTATCATAAAATTCTTTTGGATTCTCTGTGCAGATCAGGTGTTTTATGTAATTGTGGGCATAAGGTGGGAAGGTATAAAACACTGGCTGTAGCCAGGTGTGTGGCATCACTTCAAGAAACGGCTTTTGCTAATTTGGGGTAAGCTTTACAAAGAATTCTAAAACTAGTTGATTGTTTGCTCAAGTGGCATAGGAGCACAGTTCTTGCGTCTGCAGTTATATATTGCTTGGAGTCATATGGTCATCTTAGATCTCTTTCATGGATGTTTACCATAAGAGGATGGTTCCTGTGGGTTTTGACAAAACTGGGAGTTTGGTTGATTTGGGTTTGATTTGTTTGCTTGTTTGTTAAGGTAAAAACAAAGAAGCTAACAATGTGAACTCGAAGGCCTACCTAGTATAGTCTTCATGTATTATTATAGCCAGAGGCAGCATATAAAACAATTATGTGAGTGAATTTTAAACAAAACTGAAACACTGCTTACAACTTTGGAAAAGAAGCTTTCAGTATTGAGGTCTGGTGTTAAAGGCTGTAGGTGTTAAGTAATAGCTGCTAAGGCCGTTGGTGGGGATGTTCTAATTGAATCAAAGTAGTAATTTTCTTAGCAAGGACCTGACTAATGTTATGAGTCATTTGTCTAATAGATGTGAGTCTGGTAGTATACCACATTTGGACATAGTTAAATTTTACTTTTTTTCCCCAAACAAAAGATTGGTTTAGATCAAACAGTATAACTGGCCATTTGACATGGGTCATGGGAGCTCTTTGAAGAGGCAAACTTAAAAAGATGCCATTTTGAGCTGAAAACTGATGTGTTCATCCCAAAATTTTATACTGTATTCTCTAAATAGATGTAAATTATAGAGTTTTGTCTTTTCTGGTATTACTAGAAGCTTAAAATTAGAGTTAAATTGACATGTATACTGTTTGTGTTTTTTGAAGTAAAGTAGCAGCAACAGATACTTTGTTGATCATGTCTAAAGATGAAGTTTGCAAAAAATTCTGCACCCTTCTTTTGCTGACGACAGTAATGTGGAATTTAGCCTTCCAAGTCGTAAGAGTTAACTTGCCCAAGTATTTCAACCTTGTCGTAGATCTTTTCACTGAATAGTCTGTGAACTGAGTAGTAGGTAAAATACAATAGTAGATAGGAGAGGTTTGTACAGAATGCCCATATGGATTATTAATATTTAAAGTCACAAAACTATTTTGAAAATTCAGCACGTAGATGGATTTGACAGTGGTTTTGAATTTCTTTGTTAAAGGGGGAATGTGGAGATATTCTGGGAAGTATTTGAGTAAGCTTGAAACTCCTCCACCTCAGTTCTTTTAGGAAAGAGTTTCCTCTCCTCATCTATGCAGGTATATACTGTGCTCCTCACTGCAGATCATTTTGTGCTTGCCCAGACACTGCTTTTTTTAAGGTTATAACAGTAATTACAGTCATGGCTTCCCAACTGAGAGCACCAAGAGTAGTTGGCATTTCTCGGGACTAAGTTGAAGTCAGTTGGTAGTTGACGTTATGCTATCAACTCTTCAGAGTAAATGAATGTTTATAATTGCCATGTCCACTCCCATTACACAGAATCTTCCCATGCATGTAATGGGAATCTTAAGTCCAGAAGTGGCCTTAAAGCCAGGCAGCACTCATCTAACCAAGCTTACTTCTTTTTTTCCTCAAAATATGCATGTGAAGGTGCTGTTTTACTACTTGCATGTTGTGTCAGAACAATAAGCTACTGAAATTTTATACAGGCATATATCAAAATGCTGTTTGATTATTGAGTTAATCTAGTAATTTGCAGTACTTTTTATGAATTGTACCCTACAACTTCTATATAACCATGTAAGATTCAAGCCTGAGGCAGGTAAAATTATTTTATAGGTAATATAAATAGAAATATTTTTTCTTTTTGTTTTGACTCAAGATAAGGGCAGTGAGAGCTCAATCCAGTATATATGACCTACAGTCCTTTTCTCTGGTACCTGGTTTTTGCAGTTAATGATGTCTGTTTGATCCAAGTCGTGTAATTACAGGGCCTTCTGCCTGGTTTCTTTCTGAGTCAGTAACCCAGTAATCTTCAGGAACTTCATTGCATTCACCTGAATTTGTTCATACTCTCTTTAGCCACAAATAACACGAAGGTGATCTAAAAACGTACACTCAAAATTAGTATATGTCTTTGAAAAGGTACCCTATTAGCTGTGTTTTGCCTGATATTACTTATCTGCAAGTGTTAACTCTTATACTGAGATAATCAGATTTATGGCAATGTTAAAATCAGCTAACTGGTATGATGCTTGGAAAAAGAAACTTTCCTCATTCTCTTTTCCTTCCTTACTAGGTATCCTGGTCTGATCTTTCAGTGACATGTGTAACAAAAACACACCAGGAGCTTCAGGAATTCCTGCTAAAAGTATGTATTGAAATCTAAAACTAGTGTTTACACATCAGGTTTATAACTTCAGAAGTAGTCTAGGAGAGCTGTGATTTCTGGGGTGTAATTAGAGACACAAAATCCTACCAGATTTTTGTACCCCACAACTGTACTAACTAAATAATGTATATTTGTGGTGGAGCAGCTTGACAGGTGAAGAAGCTCAACAGAATGTTTGGGAAGTTTCCTGGGAGGAGATAGTTTGTCTCATCTGAAATTACACTTATAATTTTAATTGAACTACCATAAAACTACAAGATGAGTTTTTAATGTTCCACACAGAGTTAGTGTATAGGTACAAGCACTGCTCGTTTGGTTATTGTTGTCCCTTTTAGAATGACCTTAAGAGTATCATTTGTTGTTTCTAATTAATGAGGCAGAGCCATGAGCATAATAGTTCTTAATTTTACTGTTGTATTTTTCAGTAAAGCAAAGGCAGGCATATTCACAGTTGCAAGGAGTTAAATTTGAGAAAATCTAACAACTATTTGTGCATGTGTGTGTTTAAAAAAAGCAAAAGTTCTCTAAGTTGTTCTCCCCCCCACCGCACCCTAAGCAGGGAATGCATAGGCCACACGTAGACCTCACGAGTGTGATTACCTCGAACTCTGTGTTTCATTGCCAGTGTCCAGTATTTTGGGTTCCACCTACTCTGGGAAATTCTATATTTAAACTCCTCACTGTTCAGGGCACTAATGAAAGATCTGCCTTGGGCATGTTTTGATAATATTTGGTGCTAATTGTAATGGAAAGCCAGTTACTGTACAAAGGTCATTGTCTTGTTCACTGTTTCAATTATCAACATTATATTTTCTAGCGTTGTAGAAATGAAGCAGTGAGTGTTCACTGCTGCTTTAATCTAGTTGGAATATCTAATTCCAACAGTTCCCAGGGCTTGATTTGTGAGGATTTGAATTATGGATGGCATGCCTGGTCACAGATGGGATGTCCCACAACATAGGGTACGCGCATCTGCTCATGAAGAGAACCTTAAAAGCAGGACTGTCATATGGGATCCCATGGAGCTCTGGGATGAGTGTTCAACTGCATGCCTCCTACTTGTAAAGACAAACACCAGTTTCTGAAATGGACCCTCTACTACCTACTTGCTGCCAGGAGGATGATGAGGAGCCAGGCAAACAGACAGGATCCAAAATGTTTCAGAGCTGTCCAGTCTGGCTGACAGCAGCTCTTCAGATGTGGAGATGTTCAGGTGTTCCATACGCTGGCTTGACTGCTCCAGCAGAGTCTAGATATACAGAAGATGGCAGGACAAGAGGAAGACAACCACAGGCTGCTACAAGCTTCCTGAGGTGTTCTGTGGAGCATGGGCACAGCTGAAAAAATATATTTGGGTTGTGTTGGATTTGATAGCCGTAAGTGGAGAAGAGAGAGAGAGATTTGTTAAATAAAGCAGGATAAAACTTACACCTTGCTTTAAAAAGCACCATAGAAGTATGAATGCTGTCCAGTTCATACACACTTGCATTTTGGCTTTTTGTTATTCTTGTTTCCAGTCTGCATCGCATTGTAAAGTAGTATGTTCAATTTCCTGGGGACAGAAAAGAATGGTCAAAATACTTGATAGGAAATTCCAAGGTTGTGGATGATAGGAGTAAGATAACTGTAAAAATTGTTTCAGAATAAAAGCATGGGTGGGGAAAACTGAGGTAGTAAATGGGATAACATGGATGTCTGCTATTTAAAGATCACCTTCTCTTACGTGGTAACCGTAAAAAGTTCTTTGCATGTAGGAAGTTACCCACATATGTGGAAGGACTAACAAACTTGTTATAATGAGGCTATCTCATTACTTGAAATGAAGATAGTAAGTACCTAATCTTGGGTTCATATAATTCTGAATCTTTAACTACAGAAGGAATTTAATTCCTTTTAATGAAAGTTATAAAGAAAAAAAGTTGTGGCTGTTTCCAGTGACAAATTTAAATACAAAACACCAGGACAGGAGGTTTGCTTATCCCCATGCTTCTACAGTAGCGTGTTGGTACTTTTTGATTAAGACTGACTAATTCTTCAGAGTTCCTCAATAGCACGTATTAAAGCTAAAGGGATCAGTTAAGAAAAGCTGCTTTCAGCACTTCTTTCTATTTTTATATCTAATACACTTCAGGTGCTATAGCACTGTACTAATATGATACTAACAGCACCTGTCTGTCTGGATTCCAGAAGTTCATTTTCTGTATGTTAGCAAGCAATTATCTGCATTAGACATAGTGTGTCTCTATTAGTAGCACTTCATTCAGTGAAGGAATTACTTAGTGCTTTGCTGTTTTACCACTAGCAGGATGTAATAAGCAGCTGACGCTCTGGAATGGGTGTATTTCAGATATGCAGGAGGAAGATGCTACTGTAGTGTAAATAGATGTTGATCGTAACTGATGGCAGATGTTAACTAGATCAGCAATAGCTTTTAACTTTAGGAAAAGTATTTTTGCTATGGCAGTTTACTTTTAATTGCCCCAAAATTAGAAGACTACTTTTTTTTTTAATATTTCATCAGTTTTCATGTACATTATTTTGGAAGTGGTAAATGTGAAAAATCTTTGTTCTAGGGAATATTTTTCATTTAAAATAGACATACTCTTTAGATGCAAGAATTTTGCCTTCTAAATTAGAACATCAGAAGACCTCACTTTGTCATACTGTCATTGGAAACACAATGAAATTTCATAACAAGTTTCAGTGTTAATAGCAACTGGAGAAGGACTTGCTCTTGATTAATCTTGATATTGCCCACTGAAGTCTAGTGTATTATATAACTGAAACAGTCTCCTCTCTACTCCTGTTTCTTTAAAATAATTTAATCTAAGTGATGATAGTGAGTACAGTGCATTCAGTCCTCCCTGGTAATATTTTTAATGTTATTTTCAGATCTGCTTTCCATGTGTGAAAGATGTAAAGAAATAAATCAAAAAAGGCTGTAAATTACTCTGGGAAAAAACCCCATAGTATTGGTAAATTTCTTTCAAATAGAGCTTCAAACAGTCTTACACCTGGAATTGAAGTGAGGCTTTACAGCAAAGTGTTTCTCTAGCAAAACTGAATTACGATGATTTGTTGTACCTTTAGTCTGTAAATTACCTTACTCAAACTGGAACAGCAGAGTTTCTTGTTGATACCAAAAGATATAAGGACTGATGGTGAACAAATATAATCTTTAAAATGTCAACTACTCAATTTTTAATATTAACCTTTTTCTTAGCTCCCAAAGGAACTGTCTTCTGAAGCATTTGACAAGACTATTTTAAGAGCACTAAATCAGGGTTTTCAGAAGAGGGAAGAACGAAGGCATGCTGATCTTGAGCTCACAATCAGGTAAATATTTTAGTAAATAACCTAAAATGCATCACCTGAAAAGTGATTGAAACTAGATGACTTTTAGGGACAGCAGAAATTCCACTGCCTAAACACTATTTGTGAAGAAAATGGGAAGGCAGTGATGAAATAAATACCCGTAGCTTTTTATTTCCCCTCCCTTCAGATTGAGACTGTTATTAAAATTTAATGCATTACTTCTAAAGAAGTAATCATGCAATTATAAAAGTATTTGTCCTGAGCAGCTTTATATAGCAATGATTGGCACTTCAGCGAGGGTCTTGCCTCCATTATACAAGGGTATATTTAGAAATATTAGAAACAGTAACTCAGAGCATGTATGTTCTGATTTTATGACAGGATAGAGAGAGAGACAGAACAGAATTTGGAAAAGAATAAACAGTACTAGTGAAGCACATATGTAAAATTAAATGTAGCTCACACGTTTGTAAGAAAATGGCCCATACCTCATAAACTGCTATCCAGTGATGAGGGTGCTTGCTGGGCTGTGGGACACGTTGGTCAAATCCTGTAACTCAGAACAGCAATATGAATTTGGGTGATCCTCCCTGTTCTTTTTGTTTGTTACAGATATCTTGTTACATTTGTTCTTTTCTGTCAGGGTTGTTCAACCTTGTTCAAAACAACTTAAATTACTCATCAGATTAGGCAGTGTTAGGGTACAAGTTAGGGTACTTGTTGAAGAATCAGACACAGCTTTTCAAGCTCCTGCTCAGAATATACTGCAGGTCCAAGCATATTGGATCTTTGGGTTTTGTTTTAATAGCTTAGCTATAGAAGATATGGAGCTGCTGTGTCCCTCAACCTCCTCCTTCCCAATTTTATTTTATTATTAATAAAATAGTACTATTTTTCTGTCTTTATTGGCTTGATTGTCAAGCCAAAAACTAAATCTGTGTGAACAATTTTTTGGCTAATAAACATTCTGTTTTTAAATGAATAAACTTGTTTAAATAGAGGTTGACTGAAGAGAGCATACGTGTAATACAGAAAGGTTATGAAGCCCCACTGCACAGTAATTACAAACCCAAGAGATTCAGTTTAAGGATAACCTTTAAACATATCCAACCACGTTATAATATGGAACTGTAACTACAGTTTGCAAGCTAAGTCGTGACTATACTGGAATGCTACGTGAATAATCTCCTGATAATAACATTATTGTATAGAAATTTTGTTTTCTCCCAGTATCGGTTTAGCATAAAGATATATTTATTTGGGGGTCTTAAGTTATGTGCCCAGTCACCAAAAAATGTTCTCCCCTACCCCTCTCCGAAAAAATAGAACTGAGTAGTGCTTCCTGGCAAGCAATAACTGAAAACTTGGTGCGGGATATAAAAACCATTCATTCTTGGCAATTATGAAACTCCAATACTGACATTATAGGTGAATTCAACTTTGTATTTAACCAAGTAAGTGTATTTAACGATCAGGTGCATTGTTTTGGGAAATTACATGTTAACATTTCAAGTCCAGTGCTTTTGTGACGTAGTCCAAACGCGTCTTCAATAAAATGTTACAGGTGGCTAAAATGTTTGAATTGGGATGGCTCAAAAGCACATACTTTTTAAATTAAAAAAAAAAAAATCATCATACTAATTTCTTGTACTGGCTGTACTCTGACCTTACACTAGCACTGAGCAACAAAGCTCAAAAGTAGCGTTTAACATTGTTTATGCTGAACATGCAAGTTCAAGTGTTTGGACTTCTTAAGAACTGCCTACTTTGCTCTTAAATGGTACTGTAGTAAAATTTTGTATTCTTCCCATGGAATATTACTTACAGTTTAACAAACTCTCACTTAAATTTCAGGCAGCTATTTTCAAATACATCACAAGCTTTTCTGCAGAATCAGAGAGTATACAACTTCTTCCAATCAATTTCATCAGAATCTTTGCACACTCACGGTAAGAAATACCCTAATAGTGTTTTATATAACAAAAAGTCTATAAAAAGCTGTTCTTCCTGTCATGCCTAATCATGTTTTTATAACTATGTATTCATGTTACATTGTATTCCACTGGTCATATTTGAACTCCCTGCCAATGAATAGTTGCTTCAGCAGATGCTTGTGCTTTTGACAGTGGGAACATGCTACATAGCATCAGCTTATGTTCTTTTTCTTTCTTTCTTCTCCTCTGTACCATCATGCTGTTAAAATAGGTAATTATGAATTGAGTATGTGCAGCAGTTTGGAACTTTTTCCTTTTAAGAAATCTTAAACTTTGGAACGAAAAGCTTGAGCTGACCCAAAAAAATTACATCTGTTTTTTATTTGGTTTCTTTTGGAGATGAAGTGTTTGTCTTTATATTTAAACTAAGATTCATTTTGGGTATATAGTATATAAACAGTGGGATGGTCCTAATTTCAGAACATACACAATCTTGTTCAAAGCATTTGCATTGCAGGAATTTCCGTGGTGGACCTCTTACCTACTTGTGTATTACAGATTGTTTGTACAACCTAAGCTTAGCTCCTCTGTATGGATGGATGCCTTAGGATGTGGTCTTTGTTTCTTTTGAATCTTTTCTTCTTTCAGTGCATGTTATACACCATGACAGTTAAGGCACTGACTGTGAGGCCATTGCCTCATAAGTTGCAGAAGACCTTAGTAAGGAATTGAATAAGAATTTTCAAACAGACTGCTTATATGCATTTGGAAGAAAATAAGAGGCATGACAGATGACTTTAATTTGAAATGATGGGTGTGATCTGTGACAAAGGTATTCTTTCCATCATCAGATAGAGGCTTTGTGATTAGAGTAGAAGCTGTAGGTCATTTTGTGATTGTTTTGTTTTATTTTGTTTGGTGGGGGTTTTTTTGTTTGGGTTTTTTTTTTTTTTAGTAACACTTAGGACATTCTTACATGGCAGTTTTGTGAAAAAGTTAACCTAATGAGGTCCAGGATGGTTGTGAAACTGGCTGGAATTTACTGCTGTGAAAATTCTAACAACTCTGTTGTAATGAAAGGCTGCATGGGGAGGAAAGAGTTTCCAGAGTCCAGAAAGATTCGTGTTAATGACAGACATACTGCACGGGGTTTGGGTTTGTCTGAAGCAGGGGAAAGCTTATGCATATTTCAGTCTGTAGACCACATCGAGAGGGGGAAGACTTGCAAATGCAGTGTTGTATACGATTATGACTTGAAATGGTCTGAAAAAGATCCAGTGACAGGGTCCATCACAATAGACTTAATCCGGGTTAGTGCAGGGCAGAAATGATCTGCAGGGTAGGTAGATTAGAAGGGTAGAATGGACAAATGTCAATTCTGCAGGAAGTCTTACCGATTGTAATGTGATCATAAATGGGAGATAATTTGTATAATAATAAATAAATAATTGGTTACATGAAAGTTCATGAGGATTTTTCAGATGTAGAATGCATGACAGATAGGATGAAGAACTTAATTGTTTAGCAGAGAGGAGGAGAAAGTCCAATGGAAGATGACTTAAGTCTTCAAATGCTGAAGAGTCATAGTGGAAAGAGGATGATCTGTTCTCTCTGATGGATAAGACAGAAAGCACTGGGCTTAACTTGCTGTGAGGAAGATTAGGACCAGGGTCAGGCAAGAATCTGGTGATTACCAGACAAGTCCAAAGCGGTGAGGCAGGTCTGAGATCAAGGCAGAAGAACAAGTCAATAGGTCAGAGTTAAGAACAGGATCAGCGAGCTACGTTGCCAGGCACGGGCATGGCTGCAGTGCACCCTAGGCAAGGGCCTGTGCTTAAATGTGGTTCCCAAGGCAGAGGACGGAGGCCCCAGATGAGGATCTGCCAGTTCTTTTCCCAGCACTTTCACCCAAAATTGCAAAACTGCACTGAATCAGATTGGATCTTGAGCACAGGCAGGTGAAGCCCTTGGGAGGGCCGGGAAGAGTTGCAAGGCCCATTGGTGTGGTTCAAGGCCCTGATGTTGAATTATATATTAAGAAAAAGTTTGGTGAAGACACATAGTGCAATAAATCTAAGCATAGTTGGTTTCCTTTTGAGAAGGGGAACTGGGTAACTTGTCTGGGGTAGCTTACCACAGGTGGGTTCTGTGTTTTGATAGGTATCCTTTTTGGAATTCCTGAAATCCTGGTAATGTTTGTAATTGCAAGTTAGCCCGTGGTGGCATATTTTGAATTCGATGACAGTGTGGGGGGAGAGGGGAAGCATATCTTTTAAGAAAAATCTCATCATAGTTCTCAAATGGTTGTGCAGAATTAATTGGCAGACACAGTAGTTTTGGCTTAAATAGGTCTTCAGTCGCTAGAGTTGGGGATAAAAATGCCTCTTCGTGGAAATACAAAAGTATTCACTCTTTCTGAAGGGTATGGTTTTATCTGGAAATAAATTCTATGTTCAGCGAAGGATCTTTATATTTTAAATAATAGTGGGGATCTCACACTGAACAATGTATTATTCAGTAAGCATAATTATGCTGCCATCGTTCCATTAAGGAGGAAATCAATTAGCTCCCTCCTGGTTCATAACATCAGTTATTTTAGACACTTTCTGGTTCCAACAGACTTTATTCGATCGTGATCTCTGGGGGCTTAGTATGTTCAACGCACACAATATTCAGAAGGATCTTCCTATCAGTGTTTCAAGCTCCTAAGCAACAGCTTTCAGATGTTTTTACCTGCACTAACTTGGAATTTTT